TTTAATGATCTCAAGCTATAATCTGTATCTCTCAAGATCAATTTGTAATGATTTAATGATCTCAAGCTATAATCTGTATCTCTCAAGATCAATTTGTAATGATTTAATGATCTCAAGCTATAATCTGTATCTCTCAAAATCGATTTAGTAATGACTTAATGATCTCAAGTTCTAATCTATATCTCTCAAGATCAATTTGTAATGATTTAATGATCTCAAGCTATAATCTGTATCTCTCAAAATCGATTTAGTAATGATTTAATCATCTCAAGCTATAATCTGTATCTCTCAAGATCAATTTGTAATGATTTAATGATCTCAAGATCGATTTAGTAATGATTTAATGATCTCAAGCTATAATCTGTATCTCTCAAGATCGATTTAGTAATAATTTAATGATCTCAAGTTCTAATCTGTATCTCTCAAGATCGATTTAATAATGACTTAATGATCTCAAGTTCTAATATGTACCTCTCAAGATCGATTTAGTAATGATTTAATGATCTCAAGTTCTAATCTGTATCTCTCAAGATCGATTTAGTAATGATTTAATGATCTCAAGTTTTAATCTGTATCTCTCAAGATCAATTTTGTAATGATTTAATGATCTCAAGTTCTAATCTGTATCTCTCAAGATCGATTTAGTACTGATTTAGTGACCCCAAATTCTAATCTATATCTCTCAAGATTGATTTAGTAATGATTTAATGATCTCAAGCTATAAGCTGTATCTCTCAAGATCGATTTAGTACTGATTTAGTGACCCCAAATTCTAATCTATATCTCTCAAGATTGATTTAGTACTGATTTAATGACCCAAAATTCTAATCTATATCTCTCAAGATTGATTTAGTACTGATTTAATGACCCAAAATTCTAATCTATATCTCTCAAGATCGTATTCCAAACTGAATAAGCTGAGATCTTATTCCTGACTGAATAATCATCACGTTAGTTATTTCAGTTGTTGATGTCAAAATTACCGAGAAAGACTAGCGCTACACATTTGACTGGTTGCTCACCAATGAAATACAAGACAGGTTGTTACCTCCAGGGGTGACCTGACCGCCAATGGAAAAGGTACATATCTAGTTTCACATACAGTGAGTGAATGTCCTTGCAACTATCTTCCCCAAGGGGAAAATTAAAGAGTTGACTCTAGGTGAATGACACATAACAATGGGATGCTAAAGTGAAATAAACTTATAAAAAGAAAAAAGATGAAATTCATAAACCCTTGAAGTCTATACTAAACCTGAGAAGGATAATTTCCATAAGTATCTAAAAATATAATGATAATAAGTTGTAAAAATATAAAAAGAATAAAATACGCGTAATTGGTCGAATTAAATGCGCTGTTGATGATATTTTTTTATTAGATTTTTGTATTTGACTTCATACGTTATTATGGACACTGCAGCAAACAAATTCAAGGACCCACAGCAGTTTGGAAAAAACGTGTTTAATTAAAAAGCCCATAGGTAATTCTAGGGTTAACAATTGCTTCAGAGTTGTACTGGGTGCGTGAGCAGGTTTTACAATAGAGAAACTGGTTATGATATGTGTATAATTAGCTGGTGTCTTAGTTTTTGGTGCTTTTGACCCACCCACAGAAAGTGTTATTGAAAGTATGTATGGTTTGATACCGTTCTTTATATAAAGCAAATGCGCAGAGATTTAGGAATACCTTGTCCTCCCTGTTTATACTTACAGTGTTCAAGAGCGATGCCTTCTGGGAGTTATGATGTCATAGTTTTCGCTATATAATGGCCTCTCCGTTTGATCAAAGGTTTGTTTTACAGTAAAACTCATGTTCAGTCTCTTTGTTTTTCAATTCAGTGAGGTTAGAAAATCAAATATAATGCAGCGTAACATTTCCTGCCACTCCTCTTGTCATTGCGGTTATTATTCATGCCTGTAGCCAGTGCTGACGAAAGGAGGGGGGGGGGGGCAGGCAGTGGGATATTCCTAAGCTCACTAGAAATGCATACTACTCAATGAGCTAAAATGGCTACTGGTTTTTTTTATGGATTCATGAAAGAATTTGTGACCTAAATTTCTTTTATGAAAAAGTTAATAAATAGATGATATTACTGACACCGGTGGGCCTGGGCTGACTCTCGCACCCCTGTCTGTAGTATTACCTGACATTTGGGCTTGATCAAATAATAATGAAGAATATTTTCATACTATTTTTATTAGTGCATTATTATAAAAGTATTACTTCATTAGGATCAGCTAAATACAAAAGATTTACTTCATTAGGATCAGCTAAATACAAAAGTTTTACTTCGTTAGGATCAGCTAAATACAAAAGTTTTACTTCATTAGGATCAGCTAAATACAAAAGTCTTACTTCATTAGGATCAGCTAAATACAAAAGTTTTACTTCATTAGGATCAGCTAAATACAAAAGTCTTACTTCATTAGGTTCAGCTAAATACAAAAGTCTTACTTCACTAGGATCAGCTAAATACAAAAGTTTTACTTCATTAGGATCAGCTAAATAAAAAAGTTTTACTTCGTTAGGATCAGCTAAATACAAAAGTGTTACTTCATTAGGATCAGCTAAATACAAAAGTCTTACTTCATTAGGATCAGCTAAATAAAAAAGTTTTACTTCGTTAGGATCAGCTAAATACAAAAGTTTACTTCATTAGGATCAGCTAAATACAAAAGTCTTACTTCATTAGGATCAGCTAAATACAAAAGTCTTACTTCATTAGGATCAGCTAAATACAAAAGTCTTACTTCATTAGGATCAGCTAAATACAAAAGTTTTACTTCATTAGGTTCAGCTAAATACAAAAGTGTTACTTCATTAGGATCAGCTAAATACAAAAGTCTTACTTCATTAGGTTCAGCTAAATACAAAAGTTTTACTTCATTAAATCAGCTAAATACAAAAGTCTTACTTCATTAGGATCAGCTAAATACAAAAGTATTACTTCATTAAATTCAGCTAAATACAAAAGTCTTACTTCAATAGATTCGCTAAATACAAAAGTCTTACTTCATTAGGATCAGCTAAATACAAAAGTCTTACTTCATTGGGATCAGCTAAATACAAAAGTCTTACTTCAATAGATTAGCTAAATACAAAAGTCTTACTTCATTAGAATCAGTTAAATACAAAAGTGTTACTTCATTAGGATCAGCTAAATACAAAAGTCTTACTTCATTAGGATCAGCTAAATACAAAAGTCTTACTTCACTAGGATCAGCTAAATACAAAAGTCTTACTTCATTAGGATCAGTTAAATACAAAAGTCTTACTTCATTAGGATCAGTTAAATACAAAAGTCTTACTTCACTAGGATCAGTTAAATACAAAAGTGTTACTTCATTAGGATCAGTTAAATACAAAAGTCTTACTTCATTAGGATCAATTCCGTGATTTAGAGACCACGTTGTTTGAAAGTAATCTATCATTCGTTGTCGCAGTTGCTTCGATATTTGATGAAGTCTAAAAAAATCTTTCAGATCTCTTAGTTTTGTCTGGTATTGGGACCGCCTCGAGTACATACGTTGAATGATGGCTGTTACATTACCAAAAACCACAGCGTGCATCAATGCTGGGAAAAACAAAGAGATGTTATTGTATTAAATAAATATACAAGTGAGTGTTGTTTTACACCAAGAGATCAACTGATCATATTAGATTTTATTTAAAAATTATACTTCCATAGTCTGACTAAAGGTGTCGTCTTATCAAGTAAGACAAATAATATAGCGTGTATAATTTTATACTTCCATGGTCTGACTAAAGGTGTCGTCTTATCAAGTAAGACAAATAATATAGCGTGTATAATTTTATACCCCCATGGTCTGACTAAAGGTGTT